GTCACAGTGCCTGAAGAGACAAGCAGGTTCAGTGGCGAGAGAGAAACTTTGCACAGCACATTTCTGAAACGAATTACATTTACGCACCCCTCACCTCTTGGACAGGGGCAGGGACCAATCAGGCGTTGCCTCCTCTCCTGTGACAACAGGAACGTCTCTTTCCGACAGGAGTTCTGCTCCCACCTTTGTACGAAAGGTCCGAAACGACTCGTTGTCTTTCCTGAAGTGGCGACGACTAATTCTATATCCCTCGGGCTGGTGCTGCCTTTGAATTGGCTGTCCAGGAGAGAACAAGGGACAGACAGAAATGTGTTGTTTATCCAGTGGGACAAACGTGTGTTCGCTGCCACATGCCCCCCCTGATAAAGCCCATCAGGCACACGCCATGAGCTACCCCTCATGAGATTCCATTCCTGGACAACCTAATGACACAAACTCCACATGGCTGACCTGAGGACAGCGAAGAGGGTGATGTTTTTCCCTACACTTGATGCTCCTGGGATAAGATCACTTCATTGGCCATATACAAGTTCTTGCATTAGGAATTTGTCTTTTCACAGACCCCAGCTTGCTCTCCATGAGACCCACAGACAGGGAGAGAAGCTGGGGGTCAGAGCGCAGGGTCAGCTGTTTATACAGGACCTCTGGAGCAGTTGGGGTGAAGGGCCTGGCTCAGGGGCCTAACAGAGTAGGATTCCTCTGCCGGCCACAGGCGCAGATCCTGAGCCACAGGGCCACCGCTCTTGTAGACTGGGGAAGAGTATAATTCTATTGTCTTACTTTGACTTTATTAAGAACCAGCATTCTCACCTTGAAACAGAAAATGCTGGAATGTAGAACAGGGCTGTCCACTCCCGTCCCCGTCCCAGTGCTGGAGGACTAGTGGGTCTGTGGTTTCCCAGTCCAGCTCAGCTCTTAGTGAGCAAAAGCTGCTGGCTGAACGGGACCAATTTAACAGCTTCTCTTCCAAACGGACACTCCAGCCCAGCAGGACCAGCACAGTACATCTCGGACGCACTGCCAAGCCTTTGAGGGTGTAAGATTATTGAAACCAGAATAAAAGTCAAATCCGCATCAGCAAGAATTGTTTCTGAAGTGCGTCTCTTTTAATCTGTCTGAGTAAGACTCGGTACGTGGGAGAAGTACCAGAGCACACAGTCTATTCCGACAGGGAAACATTCTGTCGATATGCCTCTTTCCCAACCCTTTTCCCTCGGGGATTTCAGAGAGAGTCCAATCCCATGGCATGACACCCCTCCGATCAGCAGCTGCAGGAAAAGGACTCCTGATCCCAAGACGCCTGGATTCTCTGGAGAATCCACACGGGTTTCGGATCATCCACGATGTCCTGCAACACTTGATTTGGGAAGGGGAGGTAGCTCACACCCACCCTGGAATGGGGGTGGGGGGGGTTGGCCAATGGCTACAGCCCCCCCCACCAGGCCAAATATTTTGGCAAGCCGCCAAGGAACTATTTGTATTCCAGGGGTAAGATATCTCCTTTACCGTTAGATTTTTCTTGCCAGCCAAGTCCGATCAGAGCGCCGTTCAAATCCAGCTCCAATGACGCTGTCCGGGATCTTGATCTGCAGCTGCTCTGCCAGCGTTCCCGTCCGGACCACGGGCCCGATCCGATCCGCAGGGGCTCGTCGGAGTCGTTGAGCGGGGAGGAGGCCTGGTCTCCTCGCAGGAGCTCGCAACGCGAGAGGAGGTCTGTGATTCCATCGAGGCTGTGTGGCTGCAAGTAGCTGCAAGTATTCCTCCTCAAATCCATTGATTCAGGGATCACACGGAGCTGGATTCAGCACAGGGCTAGAGGACTTGGATTCATAAGAACTTAAGAAGGGTTACACACGAGAGGAGGCCATGTGCTAGTAGGTGGTAATTGATTATCTCACCCAGACATTTTTTGAAAGAAGCCAGAGTATCACCTTCAACAACGTGGCTGGGCGGCTTGTTCCACACACCCCCCACCTTTAGTGTAAAGACATGTCTCCGGTCCTGCCTGGAGGATCTCATCCAGCTGCTCTTTGGAAGCTGCCAGATGATCCCTTTCAACAACATGCCTGGGCGGCTTGTTCCACACCCCCCACCACCCAAAACTTCTGTATACTGTACAGATGTGTCTCCTGTTACTGGTCAGATCAGCAACGACGTGAGAAGTCCCTCCCTCTGCCCACCTGCTCGGGCATCTGGCAGGACAGCTGCGGCCGTCGAGGCGGGGGTGGCCTCTGGAGCAGTCGACGCAGGCCCACAGAGAGCGCGTGGCGTGGAACTGTCTCTCACAGGCACTGGGCTTCCCCCAGGATGGTCAGAAAGGTCGGGGGGGGGCCCCCAGTCCGCCCGCGGGGGGGGTGAACCCGGCCACAGCGAGGCGCTGTTCGTGTCGGCTTGCGACGGGGTGCGCGCGGGGGGGGTGGTGGGGGGGGGGGCAGGCGTCTTGCGCGGAGGGCACCGCATCAAAGAGCCGGGGGAGCTGGGCGAGGATCACAGCTCGTCAGAGCGAGCCGCGCAGGAACCTGCTAACCACAGGCCCACCACCTCTGCAGAGACCACCCCAGACGTGTCCACGCCACACAACCGGAGCATCTCAGCCATATTCCCTCATTCCTCCAGGGGGTTCATTTGGGGGTGGGGGGGGTCTCCAATGCCCCTTTCTGATATTCTTCCTAGAGCTGGGGTTTTCAGTCCAGGTCTTGGGGTTCCCCCCCTACATACCAGCTGGCTTTTGTTTTTGAGCACTCTAATGTAAACCACTAATAAACCTAATATTATTAGAACACCTCTGTGTTCAGTTCCTGAACACGCAGGAGGTCGCCTTCCAACGACTCCATTTCTTCAGAAGATCCAAATCTCCCACCTTTGACGTAGACCAAAAAAAAACAACAGCTTGGAAATGCTCCAACCCAGCTATTTGTTCAATTCAATTAAGTAATTGAGCTCGTCTGCACTTAAACCCAGCAGGTGTGTGGGAACCCCCTATCCACGAGTGTGATGACAGATTAGGACCATTTTAAGTGTTTTTAAAACATGTACATGTGGAGATATACACAAATCATCGGCAGTACTGAAAGCTCAACCACCCCCCAAAAAAAAATATTTTGGGACACTTTCTTCTTTCCTGAATCGTTTATTGATCTCACCTTCACAACACGCTGAATTCCAGCATTCAGTGCACCTCACACCTGGAGTCAACACTCAAGTTGTATTTAAAGAAATTGAGACAATACAAAAATGAATACTGGTACCAAGGGCTTACACGGTTCTATACAGTCTTCTAGAACACGCTCAGCTGGAACTAACTTTAAAAAACAAAACCTATCAAGGAAAACCGCGACTTGTTTTCCGAATCATATTATAAAAGAGATGAAATGCATTCGTGGGGATTACGATCGGCCGAATTTGTCGCCAAGTCCGCAGCCGTGCAGCAGCTGACGCACGGATATCCATCACGGACCGCAGGTCAGAAATACATTTTTTTTTAAAAAAAACTACAAATCCCAGATACAGGTGTCATTGGGAAGAGCATTGTGGGACTTGAGGTCGCGAAGCTCGGGACACTCGCCGACGCGCGGGTGGCAGCGGGACCTGTCGGTAATAAAATCACTGGGAGGAGCCTTCGGCTCTTGGCAGGCAGATGTTTTTTGGTCTTAAAGGCAAAGTAATCAATTTATGATGTGAAGCGCTAGCCAGAGGTTCCGAAAGTCGCCCCTATCGCTCCCTTTAGATTAATAGTGAAACGCCAGCGCAAGAAAAAAAACATCCCCTTTCCCTTTAATCAATCCGCTGTGTGCAGCTTTCCGGGCACCGTTCGCCTTTCCTCTGCTCTGTGGAGACATGTCCTGGATCAACCGAAGTTGCTTTGCAAAAGTTATTTGTAGTTTGAGGGGGGGAAAAAAATGAATCGGAGGAATAAACAGAGAACCCAACGCGTGGCTTTCGAATACGTTCGCAAACGCCGCATTAAAGGGAAAACAAAGGGTTTGGTTTGTAACACCGGGCTTGATCAGTGAAATATGCCGAGTATCCCGTTTCCTCGTTGGGCTTTCTCCCGCATGCTAGTGCTGTATGTGTATGTTTCAACCCGATTAGAACTTGTATATCCTTAAAATAACAAGAAATACATTTTTTCCCCAAGAAGTATATAATCTGTTGTTGTTGTTTTTTTTTTCTGAGAATATCTGGGCCTCTTCCCTCCGAGCTGAGCTGCAATGCTGTTATCGCTCTGCTCAAATCGGGGGTGGCCGTGTCTAGAGTCGCCCAGGCCCTGGGCTTTTATACAGTCCACGGCGTCCACACACATGGAAATGACTGCGTTCTAACCCATACCCGCTCTGCACGACAGCCCAGCGTTTCAGCGAGCGACTGTCTGAACATTCAACTAATAGTTCATCACGGCGCCTATTGTGAAGTCACTTCTCCGACTAGCAAGGCAGCTTAACGGGGTCGCCCTCCTCCTCGTTTCAGTCCGCACACCTGGGCCGACAGCTTCCCGTGTCGTGGGTTTAGCAAGAGCGACATACCCCCAATACCATCCTATATAGATACAAGGGAAGAACAGCAGTCTCACTCGGGATTTGAACCCACAACCTTCCAGTGACGAGTCCAAAACCTCAGCGCCACCGACAAACAATCACCGATTAACTGATTAATCGACCGATAACCGATCATCCAATTAGTCCACCGACACCTCTTTCAGGGGTTGGGTCCGGGGGCAGGGGCTCGTTCTCGACAAACTGTTCAACCCAAACCAGGGAGAGTGGCACGTTCAGCCCCAATCTGCAGTTACATTCCAAGAAGGTAACACCTCTGGTCGGGGCTCTTTGAGAAAAACCGAGAAAGCTCAATTGATCGAGAGTAGTTCAGGTGAATAAAACACCCCCTTTTCTTTGTCTTCTTTGACAAAACTGCTGATGATATTACCGAGATCTACAATGAAAGTAATTTCGAGACGAGAGAGTCCCCGCTACCACTAAGACAACAGTGGAACCCGCAAACAAAACAGCCAAGCGCCTTAGAACTGTTTATATTCGACTGCAGCCTCTATTCTATGACACATGCATGCATATATTTGCAAGAAACGAGACTTGACAGTCTCATCTACCCATATCGAATTGCAACTGTATATATACATATTTGTTTTGGGGGGGATTTGCAAGACTCGCGATGGGGGTGAAAAGAAGTGGCTGCGGAAAATTGCATTAACCACTTTCGTGAGAGACTGATGCTCCGACAAATATTCGCAGTACCGCAAAGCGTGCGTTTTAAGGAGTCGGTTTCGGGCTGTCTATATTTTACCTTTAAGAGCGAATGATTCCTCGTCAGGGAGGAGGGGTCAAGCCCAGCGGCAGAATTTCAGCCAATTAAAGAGCCCCCCTCACACGCCACAGGGCGAAGGGGGCGGACGCTGGGCTTAAGTGATGTGCGTGGTTTCCAAGGAGACCAGTTGTGGCGCCCCCCCCTCTCCACCGCTGGCAAGGCTCCGTTGTCATGGAGATAATTGGATCTCCAAAGTATTCTCCAGCTTCCCGTAAAGTGGGTTGATTGGACGTCGGAAAGGTTGTTCTGTTTCCCTGGGAGACGGTTAGGAAGTTAGGTGGTCGGCAGATTTTTTTTTTGGTAAAAAAAAAAGTGCTGCAAGTTCAGGAGAAATGAAAAAAACATTCAAACAAATTTGATGCATGTGGGCTCCCCGTTATTTATGGATGCAATTACTGGTCACTTCATCTGAGCGTCAAGACGTTGTTTTTGAAAATCACTAAATAAAAAATCCCGAGACAAACTTGAGCTTGACAGTTTTTAGCTTTTGTCAGCTGAGTCGAGGTCTTTTCGTCACTGTTATATAAATATATATATATATCAATCCGTTATGTAGATGTTGTTAAGTGGTCCGGCCGTGTCGTGCGAACTGCCCGGCACCGGCTGATGACGTCACCGCCGGCGGCGCGGGAAACGCAGCCGTGAAGGCGAGCCCCGTTTTCGCCGATTCGGGGCTCATTTCCACGCCGGTTTGAAACACAAATAGCAGACAGTGGTTGGGGAGACACCCCGCAACACCTGCCCTGCCGTCAGCTCACCCTGTACGTTTTCAAGGTAGGACCCTCACAACGCCCACAGAATCTTTATCAATGTAATGTAATGTGCGGTAAAAATCATTATTACAAAGAAACTATTTCCTTTATTAAGAGTTGCAGTGTTCAGCTTGTACTATTTCTGGTGCAATTCTGTCACACCCTAGTGTAGTACTGCAGTTAACCTGAGGTGCCTGGTAGAGGTGTGTATACTGTCTTGATACCAAATGTATTGGAGACATAGGGATGGGAGACATTCATTCCCTATAGTACGAGGCAGAGTTGAAATCCTCGTCGGGATTACTGTGATCCGAAATCTCCACGTTCATTTGAATGTTGGAATCAGTTTTTCAAGTTTTTTTTGTTTTTAATTTCCCCACACCTGAGTCAAGGTGCTCGGAAATCTCAAGTCACCGGCGCAAACCTTACTAAGAGCGATTTGCAGAGGGAGATATTGACTGTAAATTGTGTGCACGTCAACTTTAATTCTGCGGAATAATCTTTTCTGGAATGTTCTGTGAGTTCGCCGTTGGAGCGCGAAAGCCGCCTGTATTCGGGGTCGTGAATGTGACCCTTCAGTATCGCCGTTAACCTGTTTGAATGCTGTGAGTCGGTTCATGTTGGGCAGTTCAATTTTCAGTCGGTGGGGGCTGCAGGGTTACACGCTTAATTGACGTCGTGCGGGCCACCGAGTGTGAAGTTTGTGAACTGTGTTCATTTTCAGAATTACTGGTTTACTCTAGCCCCCCCCCCGCAATACATAACTTTACACCAATTATTTTATGTGATGATGATGAAAAGGCCAGAGCAACTCGCTGAGAGTTTCTCTTGCTCTCTGCAAAATGTGGCTGTATCCCGGCTCCTCCCTCTGCTCCCGGATACCTGTGCGTGCTCCTTCTCCCGGGCTGGAATGCGGTGATGTCATGTGCTGGCACTTATCCAGGCGGAGGGATTCGCTCCGTCTTCCCAAGCCGAGCGCCTGCCCTGAGAATCGCCGGCGGCCCTCTTCACCACAGTAGCAAACCTGTCACTTCTGACGCGCGGCCTGACCAGTGCAGTGCCCGGCCGAGGCCGACCCTCTTCCTCCCCGCCTGCGATAGTCAGGGGATTTCATCTTTGTCTTTGTGCGTCCTGCCATCCGTTTTCCTGAGCTGCTTCAACCAGTGCGGGGTCGTGGGGGAGCTGGGAGCCTGCCCTGCCAAGCAAGGGGTGCAAGGTGGGGTACCCCCCTGGGTGGGATGCCAGTCCATCGTAGGGCACACACTCCCACCAGAGTCTGGTTTCCCAGAAGCCAATTCGCCCTACCCGCCTGTCTTTGGACTGGCGGAGGAAGCCTGGAACACTGGGAGAACGCGCAAACTCCACACAGATACTGGGGCACGGCGGGTCTGGAGTTGAACCCGGGCGCCCCACATCTACCAGGCGGCAATGCCACCCCCAGCTCCACCCTGCAGCCCTTTGCACATATCTGAGCTTGTGATGTCAAAAGTGTGTTTCACGCTTCAGATTTGACTGCCTGCTGTTTCCCTGTTGAGTAGCTCACCTGGGGCAGCCATTACCTGAATGAGCGTCTTCCTCCTTGCGCTCATGCCCCGAGCAGTAACAGTAGTAGACGTGATTGCAGGACTGATGTTCTAAGTAGTCGTGCAGGTTTTAAGACTGGCTGCAGTGGCATCAGCAGCAGCAGCAGCTGTAGTGGGGTTGGCAGGACACTCATGAATTGGCAGCAGTTCTGGGTGAAGTATGAGCAGTGATGTGTGTTGTACTGGTGTGCGCCGTCATGTCATGACGAGGGGAGCCTCGTGCACAATGCCTCCATTCAGCAGGCCCGGTGTGGTTTTCCCAGCTCAACTGGAATGTTCACTTCCCGTGCGACCTGCTGAGACTCATCTCCGTGCCCGGGAGCGCGGGCGTGCTTGCCGCCAAGCCAGCCCACACCTGCTGCCCCGGAGAAACGGCGCCGGGCCGGCCCGGGGACGAGGGGCTCGCTGGTCCGCAGTCCGTCGGCAGCCCGGGGGCCGTGC